GCGTCCCGGATCGCGATGGGCGGGGCCGCCGAGCCGCAGCCCGCGTTGCTCGACGCGATCCGCGCGGTGCCCGGGGAGAGAGAGAGAGAGAGAGAGAGAGAGAGAGAGAGAGAGAGAGAGAGAGAGAGAGAGAGAGAGAGAGAGAGAGAGAGAGAGAGAGAGAGAGAGAGAGAGAGAGAGAGAGAGAGAGAGAGAGAGAGAGAGAGAGAGAGAGAGAGAGAGAGAGAGAGAGAGAGAGAGAGAGAGAGAGAGATGTTGAGAGGCCGCGACCGGAGAGAGATGTTCAGAGGCTGCGACCGGAGAGAGAGAGATGTTGAGAGGCTGCGACAGGAGAGCGGGGACACTCTGGAGCGACGCGCAGACGCGCAGACACTCAGCGCGCATGCTCGGTGCGTGCGTGTGTGCGCGCGTGCGGGGTGGGGGGCGAGGGCGGGGACGTCTACCTACCTCACCTTACCTCCTCTTGCGCCAGGTCCCCGAGCGGAAGCTCCTCGTCGAGTCGGACTGCGCGGACGAGCGGAGCGCGACGCTCGCCCTGCCGCTGGCGCTGAGGCTCGTCGCGGACGCGCGCGGGTGGACGCTGGAGCGCGCGGCGCGCACGACGACGGAGAACGGGCTCCGCTTTCTCCGGGGCGACGACGGCGACGACCGCGACGCGGGCGGGGCGGAGCGGCCCGTGTGTGTTGCGTGCGAACCCACTGCGGGGAGTGACGAGAGTGCGAGGCCGCGGCTCCTTGTGGTCTCGCAGTGCTCGAGATAGATCGGGATGTGATCTGTGATCTGTGAGGGTCTGTTCAAGTCTTAAAGGCAAAACACAACGCTCTGCGGTTGGTGCACCCCCCACACTGACACATTCCCCTCATCCCCTACCCTTGGCTGAGCACATCTACCTGCGAGCTAGCCTCTCCGCATTTTCTCTTCCAGTCATCCGCCCGCGCCGCGCGCCATCTCTGGGCGTCTAGTGCAGCCACTGACAGAGCTATTCCGAAGGAGTGGTCGACGCCTCGCCTAGAGTTCGGGTGGACTTGCGCACTGCTTAGCCCTGAGGGGGGAGTGTGTGTGAGGTGGTGTAATGTCGTCCCGTTTCAGGCGGCAGGTCAGGGGATTAGCCGGGAGGATTCGGCAGCTCAGCCGGGGGCTGAGCGAAAACAGGCAGCCTTCCGCTCGCGCCGAAATTCACAGCCCTCCCGGGCCGCCGGGGAGCTCCTTGGATCGGCCAAAACTCCCCGCTTTTCCTGTTCCTGGACTGTCCGGGCCTCGAGGGGTGAGAGTATTGGGTGGGCGAGGGCAGTACATCTGG